TATTAATGCCATATTTGTAACTCTTATCTTGGAAAAGGGGCCAAGACTTAAGAAGATACCCACTTCATAAAGCTCTTGTGAAGGTTGTACAAAATCTTCATGAACGTTTTGGCCAATAGACTTTGGAGTAGGTTCCCTAAAACCATCTCAACACCATAATCAGCTTTTTGTTAGAGGTTGTCAAATTCTAGAGGGTGTTATGGTAGCACAAGAGTATATATACTTTTGCCTAAAGTAATCCAGTGATTATTTGTAAGCTAGATATAAAAAAACATATGACAAGGTAAACTAGGATTACCAAACAAATCTAATGGGGCAATATGGGTTTGGGGAATTGCTAGTGCAGGTTGATTAACACGAACCAACACATTTCTCTGCAATTATTAATGGTTCCGGAAATGAATATTTTAAGGCCAACGAGGGCATCAGATTGGGTGATCCCCTTGATACCTTCTTCTTCACTATCATGAATTCCTTAGTACGGTTTTTCTAGGAGTTTACTATCATGGTTTTCTCCATGATTTTAGATTGAACTGTTGGAGTGAGTTTCTTCTTTCCGTATTTTGTTTTCCTAAAAATACTTTTTATATGACTAAAATACCTCTAGTTTTATTATAATGTATTTTGCATGTATCTTTTTGTTGGTGTTAAAAAGAAAAAAGAAAAACTCATTCCCCAAACATTCACCCATTAGAATTTTGAGGCTTAAAAAGTGATATGGGTTTGGAGAGAAACTTACGGTGTTTGAGTATCTCTCTTTACTACCCATAATTCCTCTATCACTTTTTCAGCAATCTCAAAGGTGTCTTGATCACAAAGAAGCACTCAAAAGCCTTGCAAGGTTACCTTGAGATAAGTCACTGTTGAGTCTAATTTCATACACCATTATCCCTAATTTTCTCTCTCTACATTGCCACAAATCACTTCGTGCTCCAGAGTTTTCAGCGAAGTATTGGTATGGTTTGATGTTCTAAAGGTGTGTATTTGCTTATTCTCAACAAGCCATAGTTAGAGCATATTTTGAGTTAGTTTCATATTTCATATTTGTTCATTTTGTTATGATTTATGACTAAGGAAAAACGTGAAATGGAGAATGATAAACTTGAAGAGCTCTTAATTTGTATATATGCTTTTACTTCTTATGTAATTAGATTATACACACGTAAAATGTTTGATTATATTTTCAACTAAAGTGCAAAGAGAGATTTTGATCTAAATCTGGTTTTGTATTAATCCATATTCGTAGCCACTTTAAATCGATTTTTACATTTGGTATCATAGCTTTGTTTACTTTGAATGGTTACAGCAAAGACTATTCTTTCTGATTTGGTGAAGATAGAAAAATTAGATGGCTTCAACTTTTCAATTTGAAAAAGTAAACTGTTTTTTTGCTCCAATACTAATCATATGTGATTAATGAAGAAAAACCAGTTGAACAAGATGTTGATACAATTCTTAGAGATAGGTAAATGTTTATTAAGTGGAAAAATAATGATTTCACATGTAGAGGTACTATTTTAAATAGTCTTAGTGATAGACCGCATAAAGTATTTGAATGATATGATAATGCTAAAACTTTGTGCAGTGCTATTGAAAAAAGTTACAATGATGATAACTACATAGCTAAGTGTTAATTGTATGAAAGATAAAGTATGTATAAGATGGAGGCAAATCCATCGATTCCTGAATATTTTGATGATATGTGCATCATGGCTAAACAACTAGTTGAATACTTCCTAACTCATGGAAGTATTCAAAGAAAAATTCGTGCCGTAATGAGACTTTCTATACTTTAGCTTATCTAAGAGGACACTTAAGGATGAACGAAAATGATAGAGTTCGGGAGAAGAATGGAAGGGATAAAAACCAAGCTTATCTAGCAATGGCCAATAAGATTGAGAAGGCAAAATAAAACAAGAAATATAAGAAGCCTCCTCAAGAAAAAATTTCTTTGAAATTTAAGAAATGTTATAATAATAATAAGTATAATTATATTGCCAAATTTTGCAAGGAACCTAAAAAAAAAGATGCCGGATAAGCGAGTGACACTAAGGATTTTACCAATGTAGTTGAAGTATTCTTGATGGTGAGTTTTCTCAATGAGTGGTGGGTGGACTCGGGAGCTACTCAGTACATTTCTAATACCAAAAACAATATGGTCGACTTCAAAGAAAAGAGCGACATTGCTGAAAACTTTACATGGGCAATGCGTCTAGCATCAATATTATTGGAGAGTGCACTGTTAGACTTCCACTTCCAACCAGTGGCATTTTGACTCTTATTGATGTATTGTATGCCCCCAGATAGAACATGAACTTAGTTTCTCCCTCTAAGAATGATAGGAGTGGAGGTGATGTCTATGAGATAAGAAAATGATTATTAAAAAAAACAATGTTTTTGTTGTAAAAGCCATTACGGTTGACAGTATATACAAGTTTGATCTTGATAATAAAATGGAGAGGTCATTTGTTTACGATAAACCTCTTTGCCCAACCTAACTCAGGGCTCCCTCAATTCGGTCGAGTACAACCTGATCCCAAGATGAGGCCTAGCCAATCTGTTTTTGACCCATCATACCCCTTATACTACCAACAACATTATCATCCTCAGTCGAGGGAAGCTCCACTTGCCCATATGGCACTAACTTACCCACCTGTCTATACGGCTGCTTAGCCCATGACCTTGGGAAGTAAACCTTGGACTTAACCCCTGCAAGTGGACGCTAAAATAACAAATTTCTAAAGGGCCAGGTCAAAACCATATGAGGGGGCCCTATAGCTATTAGGGGTGGACGATCCCGCCCTCACAAAATCCTACAACGAGTCCTAGTTGGATGGTCTTGTCGATTTGCTCTTTAATACCACCAGATTTTTGAAACCATTTTAACGGAAATGGTGAACCACAGGTACATGTGAGAAGCTACTTGCTTGTTATGCCCACTCTACGTGACACGCCGGTCATCCTAAAGGCTATGTTCACTCACAGCCTCGTAGGAGACGCTATTACTCTGTATCACGACTGCCCCCAGGTCTCCTGCGGCGAGATGTTTAAGAAGTTTATCATGCACCACTCTGCTAAGAAACCATACCTCATCTCGCTCGGAGAACTAGTGACACTAAAGTAAGGACCTGACTTCATCAATAGATTTAATAGTACGGCCACATGGGTCACAAAATGTCCCTTATTCTCGGATCAACATGATACTAGAGAACTCTAACCTCAAATATAAGATGCTCTTCAACCGTGGGGGCATCCCTCTAACCTTCAATGTCATGTCAGATAGGATCACGCTCTACGAGCTGCAACAGCTTGACCGATGACGGATCGGAATTAATTGAATTCTTAATTTTTCTGATGCAGTGCCTTGCTGGATTCGGGAAGTTGTGATTCAAATTCGAATGTTAGATAATATGAACATTGACCAAGCATTTAGTTGTTAGCAAAGTCATCTATGGGTGCATTTTAAGTTTAAGCAAAGCTACATGGTCAACGTCTAAGGCTTAATCATTAATGATAAAGACATGTGATCAGCAAATGGATAAACACGACAAGTTCTTGTATTTATTAACTCATGGAGGATTATATAAACCTTATTTATTGGCAAGGAGGGGGTTCGATTTGTTATTGAGACATACACGCTATACTCTGTGTGATATTTCACATGATAGAGTAATTGCATCTAGTATTAGTAAGAAAACAACCCATTGATATTGTTGTTTTCTGAACTACAATGTAAGAATCTGATGGAGAGAGAGAAGCTATTAAATTTAAACTCACTTGAGACCCCGATATCGAGGAAGGAGCAGACTGTACAGATGATACCCCAGTTTTTAGTTCAAGTATAAGAGGTCGTGATGCCCTTGGTAATGATTTGTTATATGCGCATCTGTATATTTTCCTTTCTTAGAATCATATTATACATTTCCATGCCCGAATCAAGCGTGTTCGATCTAGATTTTAGGCTGATGTAAATTGTAATAGATGATTAAACCTCTAGAACTCTTTCATTCCTAATAATATATATGTAACATATATAATTATAAATGTGAACCTTCTAATAGCTGGGTAGCTATAATGAATAGTAATATAGGTGGAATTCCAACAGTCAGATCTTCATCACGTAGTTCAGAATGCAGATCACTATATGAATTTTAATATTTTTTTAGAAATCGGATCATAATGAAATTTTAGATGTCTATACCAAAAAAATAGGGCACGCAATTAAAAAATATATAAAAAATATTTCTCAAAATATAAAATGATCGAAATACCCTTGAAAAATGATGAGGGCAATTTGGTCACTTTAAATTATTGAAACTAATGTATTTATATTTTTATATGGTATTACGTATAAACATCCAAAATTTCATGTTAATCAGATTTATAGAAAAAATTAAAATTCATATAGTGATATGCATTCTGAATCACATTATGAACATCTGACGGCTAAGATTCCACCTATATTACTATTCATTATAGCTGCCCAACTATTGTTAGCTTTTTCGTATATATATATATTATGGAATGTATGGGTGAATTTGGCCGCGGATATATTTGCCCTCTGGTTGTCTATTTGGAGTCATGATGTTTAAATATTTTAAATTAATGCGACACACTTGTCATAACAACCAAATCTCTGGCAACTCTACCAGGAAAGAGTTCACATTTCATCTTGGGTTGAGTCTAAAACATATACAATAACATTTCTCTCTCACTAGGATTGGGCTTTACGACAATCACTCTCTCTGGTTCAGTCTCTTTCTTTCTATCTCTCTCTACTTTTGACGATTGATCCCTGTGTTTTTACATAGGTAGTCAAAGGTGTATTTTGTTTTAATGGATGCCATCACAACATCCTTTCTGGTCATAACTATCGACGTCCCACGCGCATTTTTAGCATTGATAGGCAAACCAGTGTTCGATAAAGCCTCGGCCTAATTAGATGTTTCACTGCAAGGTGTTGTTATGCAAAGAGACTTGCCACGGGAACCGAGGTTGAGTCAAGCAAGAAGTTTTGTGCACAAGTCAACATTGCCATTGGCAGCTGCCCGCTGCAGGTTATCCTCACGCAACCCACTAAGCGACAACAAACGACTAATCTCGAACCTGGCCCTGATAAATACGGCTCGCATCCCTTGGGGCGAGATGCCTCTAATTGTGACCACGAAGGCCGTGAAGGGTGAACCCTTGACTGTCTGGATACCATGCTCATCTGGAACCCCTATGTCGTGACCATAAGCCTGCGGTTAGGACTCATTATGACCTTAACTTGCTCTGCTCGGTTCATTACTTTCTAACGTTGACAGTTAGGACTCATTGTGACCCTAACTCGTTCAATTTATCATTTTCTGTCCATAAGCTAGTGGTTAGGACTCCTTGAGACCCTAACTCGCTCGATTCACACTTTCTATCTATAAACCGGTTGTTAGGTCTCCTTGCCACCCTAACTCTTATCCTATTATTAATAAACTTACATTCTATATATTTTGCTTTAACCTGACTAATTTTAAAACTTTTAGATTCTAGAGCATCCCTCTAAAGTTCTAACTTTGTATTGACATCACTTTTGGGTCTCATTGATCAAAACTATGTCATCTGAGAGCAATATACACCAAGGTACCTTATCTTGTTGGTGTTTATTGAAATCATCCAAAACTAAGACAAAGAGATATGTGCTCAATGTTGACCTCAGATATAGACCTATTGTTACTGAAAATTCACTTGTCTCTCTACTAATTTTTTGCACACTAGCTAGCAATACTTCGTACATATCTCTTACCAAATCAATATAGTATTTAGAGACTCATTTCTTTTCCAAAACCTACCAAATTAAATCTCGAGGTACTTTATGATAGGCTTTCTTTAGATCACTAAAGACCATGCAGAGGTTTTTTTCGATAGCCCTAAACTTCACAATAAGCTGCCTAAGTAGGAAAATAGTGTCAATTATTGACCGCCCTAGCATAAAATTGAATTGATTTTCTGATACATTTGTTTCATACCATAGTCATTGCTCAATCCCTCTATCTGACAACTTCATAGTATGTTTTATAAGTTCGATCCCTCGATCTTTTACACAATCTTGCATGTCTCCTTTGGTGTTGTGAATAAGAACCATAGTACTTTTCCTCCATTCGTCTAACAATTTCTTTGTTCTCAACACCTTGTTGAATAGCTTGGTCAGCCACTAAATACTGATCTCCCTAAACACTTCCAAACCTCTATCAGGATACCACAGTGAGGCAAACAATATTTCCAAATTGGGATGGAACTTCACAACTCTTTCTCCAACTCTAGTCAAGTGTCTATCTCAAAGGCTCATTATGTAAAGGGAAAATTTCATATAGATATTTTATTTCCATTTCAATTTTATGCTAGTCCCTCCCTTTTCTTTCAAGTGGCATTAAATTTTTGCTAAAAATATTATTGTACCCCCTCATATTGGCACTAACAATTTTATTACAATAGGTAAGGTGTTTCTCGATGAGAGAGAGAGTGAGTGAAAGAGAGAGAGAAGAGAGAGGAAAGACCAGATCCATGGGAGAGATGACTCATGGTGCCTTACCCACAATGAGAGGGAAGATCCACATGATAGGGAAGATCCGCGAAAGGGGTGAAATGAGTTAGGAAAGAGGTATAAATTGGGAAGAGAAGAGAAAGTCCTTATTTGGTATCAATAAAATTGTTAAAGTCAATTTTCATTTAAAAAAGTGAGAAAATAGGGGGTGAGAGGGTATGCTGATATTTTTAGCAAAAATTTAATATCGTCTGAAAGAAAAAAATTGAGCAGCTAACCTGAAATTGGGATGGAAATCGAGGGACCATATGAAATTTTCCCTTTTGATAATTAAATAGCCTACTATTATGTTCGTAAATAAGTTTTGATGGCACGGTACTAAAAGTATACTTAAAATTAAAAAAGGAGAAAAAATAAACCTTAGGGGATGTATCAAAAAACAGAGGTTGAAACCTCTTACAGTATCACTAACGAAGTCAAAAGATTACAACTTACATTTAAAGATAGGCTTTTAAATTTTTATATCAATCATTCAGGTTGTACTAAATGTGTTTTTGAGAATTCCTAAACTTACCTTGATCGGTATTAGGAAGCCTGAACAATTGGGATACTTTGATACCCCCCACCCCCCTTCCCAGATAAAAGAAATGAGGTTTTAACCGATAATTGGCTGTGAAATTACCAAAGTACTCCTAATTGTTCTGACTTTCCACTACCAAATAGGGGCAATTTTAATAATTTTTTAAAGACGATGGAAACTTAAAAGTTTATGCTCATATACAATTTGCAATCTTTTGACCCCTTAAATAGCTTCAACCCCTGTTTTAATATCTTTCCTAAAACTAATAATGAGAGGTCTTTGTTTTAATATCTTTCCTAAAACTAATAATGAGAGGTCTTTGGGAGGCTGCGACACTGAAATGTGGGCTATATTCATAATTAAGGGGCTGGCTTTACCAGATGCTTTATTGGCAGCTAACAATCCTATAATCAATGGCAATTTTGATATCTCTCAACACCACATATGTGCTATATTTTTTTTTATCCTTATTCAGAAGTGGGGTGGATCATGGAGAGGGTTCCCTGATATCCTTCTCAAGCCCCCTTTGAAGAAGCTGGATTTCTTTAATGGGCCACTTTTTGAAGCACTCGTGCATAATAAAAAGTGTACAAATCATTGTACTAATGGCTGGTGGACTAAACACAAAGGACTACAAAATGGGTGTGATGGGAGGCTTTTAGTTTAGGAATTTGAATGGTGGGAAATTTGGGGTACCGTGGCGCGATCCTATTGGCTCGAAAATATAATTTATGGATGTCCCCAAGTTGATCATTTGAAAAATAAGGGGCACCTTAGAGAAGTCCTTTTGGTGGGAATCCTTTCTTATTCCAAAGCACAAGAAAAAGGAAAGGTCCGACCCTTATCCGTTACAAAGTAGCCTCTACTATAAAAACAAAAATCACTAATAATATATACACTTCTTTTCTTTTTTTTATTTGCTCTCCCTTGTTCTCTTTTATTTGTCATAATGATCATAATAATAAACTCTATAACACATTAATTAACTAATCCCTTTAGGAAATCCATTCTCTAGGCGTGCTTATGGAACAGTTTTGCCCCATTGAATATTCCTTGGTCAAGCTAATACCACATTAATTAAAATTTGCAGCCAAAGTATAAGGAAGCTTGAGACAAATAATGTATTTATTTTGCATATATAAGTGTACAGATGTCAAAGATCATTGCTTTATTTTGGAAGTGTAGAGCCAGTTACATGGGTATAAGAGCACCTCTTGAAGTTTGTTTTAAGTATAAGTTGTATCAGTGCATGAACATGGTGTGGATGAAAAATCAAAAGGATAGCTCATACTATGTAAGCTTAATCACATTGCCGCAAGAAAGCGAGAGAGAGAGAGAGAGAGAGAGAGAAGTCATGGTT